CCCCAAAACCCCAAAACCCCAAAACCCCAAAACCCCTGAAATATATAATAATATTGACAATTAATGGAAGCTGACTTGGAGCCTAAGTCTAGGCTCGGTTCCCAAATTCTGCTTTTCCTTCAGCACAGGGAGGAGCTCCCACCTCAGAAGAGATATAAGGTCAAAATCGGTAAAAAGATTAAGAAATTTATGAGATTTAAGCAACTTGGAATCACTGAGGATGAGCCTAAAATTGAAGAAGACAGCTATGCTTCCGATGGCTCAGATATGGCAGTCGAGGAAGGGACCAAGAAGAACAGTAATCCTGCTGAAATAGATCAAACTGGAGTCAAACTCACCTTCGATAAGGAGGTACTTGAGATCCTTAATGAAAGAGTAAACATCAAGAATATGGAAAATAATATTCAGGAAAATGTGAAGGAAGATGAATCCCTGTCCGATATGTACTCTGATATCGATAATAATGAGCCTTTGGGCCCATCTACTAACGCCGACCTTGGTAATAACAACATTGAAGAGCTGATCCCTAACTCAAATTCCAACCAGAAGATCGAGGATCTCGTCAATAATATTGAGAAGAAGAGAGAACTTGAAAAATTAGAGAAAAAAAAGAGAGATATCAAGCAAGCTAATGTTGAGGACTACTTCACAGGATTCTCATCCACTATCACTCGGAAGGTAGAAAACCCCAAAAAGATCAGATCAGTTATGGAAGAAGTCATCCAGAAGGGTGACTACCTCACTGAAGAGCAGGAGCTTGCTGAGATCAGAAGGAGAATGAACCAAGGTACTGATAATTACACTGAGTGATTTCCTGAAGCCCAGGAATCTATCCGTGGATTTGACGAAAAAGATTTTGCCCAAAAAGTCAAAGAGAAATTCTATGACGAAGAAGTCATCAAGAAGGATGAAGAGTGGATGAAGTCTGATAGAAAATTCATTGAAGGAGGGACGGGACAGAAATATACTGACAATAACCTCAAGCGTAGAGAAGCTAAGGCAAAGAGTAAACTGAACGAAGACACCAAGAAACTGAATAATTTTATTGAAAATCAAAGCTAACTTTCAACTTCTAAAAAGAAATATGGGGTTTTGGGGTTTTGGGGTTTTGGGGTTTTGGGGTTTTGGGGTTTTGGGG